AGTTAAGAATTACAATTACAAGTAAATACAAGTTTTTCCTCACAAAACACTATGGGTTGATACAGTTTTGCCTCACATGATTTTTTTCCAATTTCTTTTGTATTTTTATTTTTTGTAATATTTTTTTAAATTATCTTCGTCGATTTTATTTTTAAAAAATATTAAGTTGGATAAAATTTAACTTTATAATAAAACTTAATTATATAGGGAAAACACTGTAACTTTCCTCACAAAACATTGTGGATTGTTATAGTGTCTCTCCGCATGGTTTTTCTTATAATTTTTTTAAAATTATCTTTGTCAATTTTATTTTTTTAATATTAAGCTGTTTGAAAATTATAATTACAAGTCATTAAAGGTTAAATTATATAGAGAGGCACTGTAGTTTTTATCATAAAACACTATAAATTGCTACAGTGTCTATAATATGATTTTTTTCTCTTTTTTGTATTTTTTTCTAAAATTATTTATATCTATTTTTTTAATATTAAGCTAATTAATAATTTAGTTTTGTAATTTTTTCTTTAAAATACTGTGAATTATTGCAGTGTTTTCTTATATGATTTTTTTATGATTTTTTTTAAATTATCTTTGTCAATTTTATTTTTTTTAATATTAAGTTGGTTAAGAATTATAATTACAATAAAGCTAAATCATATAGGGAAAGCGTTATAGTTTTTATCACAAAATACTGTGGATTGCTACTGTATTTCTCTAAATGGTTATTTTATTTTATTTTATTAAAAAAACATTGTAGTTTTCCTCACAAAACATTGTCAATTGCTATAATGTTTTTTCTCATGGGTTTTTTCATTCCAAAATCATCTTTGTTGGTTTTTTTTTAATATTAAGTTGGTAGATAATTTAACTTTGTAATTTTTTTATTTTTTATTAATAAAAAAGTTAATTTTTTTTCGATCGCTCCATCATACCTTTAGTTTCTATTACTTATTTAGAATTGGTTCACAATTATAATATTATTAAGTATATTTATTTTATAAACTAGTGGCAACGCGATGATATATCATCTCGTTAATATTAAAATATAGAATTTTAATATTTATTTTCAATCTAGAAGTCCATCAAGAATTTTTATTTTTAATTATGGATGTTTGGGTGAATTTATGCGTATCTCTTCATTAATATATTGAAATTCTATAATTAATAATCAAATAAATTTTTAATAATTTTAAAATTTATAATACTGATAATTTTTTAAAAATAAATCTAAAATCTAACATTCTTAAACTAGATCCCACGTTATCTCAATTTCCTTGAAACCAGGTGCTCCTGCCCGAGACATTTAAGTTGGATAGGCATCTTAGAAGAGCTGCTGTAATAGACTCCTCGAAGACTGTGAAGCAAACAAATGATCGCCATTGTTCATCAAATATGACTCATGTCAAAACAACTGGAAAGGAAACTGATAAATATGCAGGTAATTTGATATGCTTTTTCGATAAATAAGCTTAGCAAATGGATTACCAAACACCCTCAATTATAGACCTATATATACTGAATAAAAATACATGAACAATGGTACGACTTCCTTTTGAGTCGACTTGTAGCCCCTTTTTACATTGCATAGTAAATGGAAGTTGGGTAAAATTAGAGATTCTTTTATTTAAAATTATTTTTTATATTTTTTAGATTATTTTAATATGATATGTTGATATAAAAATGATTTTTAAATAAAAAATTATTATTTTAATATATTTTCAACCACAAAACATTTTAAAAAAAAATACATTACTGCAATCACTCACAAATACATTAGAAATATAATAGAGAGAAGTACAGCAGTGGAGAGCCAATTTTTCCTCACCATACAGAAGCAACTACGAGCACCTTAAGTCCAAGCCCTAGCTACTACATACTGCATAAACTTAACTTTTGCTACTACAAACCTATCCAAACCTATAAACATATCTTGTCATTCTCAAGCAACACAGAACCAAAAAGAAAAACTCGACGTCCAGTACTATTTCACACAACTAGGCAACCTCATTTTGCTTCTTAGCAAGCAGTTCAGAGCTGCCAGAACAGAAACACACGTGATGGAGTCCCCCCTGCTAATAATATCAATCTTTCAGCACTGTTTCCATGGCGAGCCCAGCTCACCGTACAGTCCTGCACTTTTTAATTGACCATTAACCAGTGGCTCTATTGTTCACTGTAGTTTTATCGTCTACTTTCTCTTCGCTTTTATCGCCTACTTTCTCTTCGCCTTTCTTCTTATTTTCTTTTTCATTGTTGAAGCCGCCAAGAGGGAGCTTCTCGTTTGCATCATTAGCCGTATCCTTGGGTTTTCCTCCTTTATTGATTTTGCCACCGCCCCCGTGACTAATTTCACCTCCACGTTTAGCATTTCTGATCTCACACAAGAAGAAAAGGATAATGACATGGACGTAATTAGTGAGATTTCATATCTAAATCAAGTGAATGTCACTAAAGATAATCATTAAAGAAAGACCTTAAATAATTCCTAGTTAAATTGGCTGTCAGTCATTTGTTTTTATAAACAAACCCAAACTCTTTCAAAATTACCTTTATAATCTAAAAACATTTTTTTGCTCGGCTAACACATGAAAATGATTAATGAACTATCAGCTGAGTGGTTAAGAAACCATTGATATAGCCCCAGCGAAAAGAAGAAGAAGAAGAAGAAGAAGATTAAATCGTGTGTACGAAAACCCTCACGGCTCAACCCGACCATAAGAAGAAGGAAATAAAGAAGAAGAAAAACTGTCCAATGCATGTTCATCACTTATTTGACTGGACTGGAATGAGATCCAGAAATTCGTAAGCGAAATGACAAGAAAATTTCCAAATATATAGCCACATGCATGGGAAACTTGACCTACATGATCAAAGTTTTACGCTGGTAGCATAGCCTGGTATGAGGCATGCGGACCAAGGTCGACTTTGGCATGAAGCCACCGGCCAACAGAGACATGCAAGTCATAACGGAGAAGTTTTTGCAAGCCATAACGGAGAGGTTTTTTTCTCTCTGAAATGCTCAGGAACTCTAAATCTATCTACTATACTCTAGCTTATGAGCTCCTAGTGAGACTGGAGGCATGGTTTTATAATGGAGAGCATGGATGACTTCACTGACCTCAACAGTAGTGTTCCTGTTTACTGTTCACCAATGGGAGATTTTAACATTTTCTATATTACTTCGTACGAGTTATATATGTGTGTGTGTGTGTGTGTGTGTGACTTGACTCCGTAAAGTGTGTGAGGTCCCCTCACAAATAATGCAAAAGGGGACATGTTGTTCTCGTGGGCTCGTTACTGCTAGCATGATTGCCCAACTTTAATTTTTTCTGTCATGCGGGTGGAATTACCTTTCTTTCCTTCTTTCAATCTTTCACTTTTTCATCTAATTAGATTTTTTTAAGGTGCATTTTAAAATAATTATAGTTATTTTTTAAAATATTTTTTATTTTAAAATATTATTTTTGATATTAGTTCATTAAAATAATTTTAAAAAATACAAAAATAAATTAATTTGAAGTAAATAATAAAATAAATTCAATTTAATTTTTTTCAAAAATATTTTTGAAATACAAAAATAACGAGGTTTGGTAACATATCAATTTGTAATAGAGTTTAAGACCGTGAAGCTAAATAATTTTGATGGAAGAAATCTTGTTAGTTGGGAAGAGATAAGATTCATGTTGAATATTTTAAAGATATTCTACATTCTTCTTGTTCTGAATGTGCATAAATTTTTTACATTTACACTTAAAAACAATGATTGGTTGAAGACAAATAGTACAAAACGAGATAAATATGAATTGCTTTGTAAAGACCACATCCTCAATGATTTATTAGATTGTTTGTGTGATCTTTTTAAATCTATATAGTCTCTAAAGAAAATTTGAAAGTCATTGGAGTACAATAAATTATTCTCTCTTTTATCCATTTCAATCCCTTTACTTCAATCCATTCTTCAATTAAGTCTTCAAAATTGAATTAAAAAGAGAAAAAAAAGGAAAAAAAAGAATTAAAAAAAAACATTATTTATCTCTCACAACTTTACCCTTTTGTCATGAAGGATTGCTCCCCAGCTCAAGGGAATGCTCTTTGCTCCTGCCTAAACACTTGTTCCTCAACCTCATCCCAACCACTTTAGGACTAATTCCTCGTGTGAAATTTTTTAGGAAACCCAACAATTAGTATATATCACAATGCAGGGCTACAACTTCAAACAAAGTCAGTACAGCACCATATTGCCCTCTGCATACACATAAATTATCAATATAATGCTTATCTTAGCCTATCTTTCTTGCCAATAAATGGCTATATTCTATCGACATGTCACCTCAAAAGAATCCTACTTCCTTGTTATTGGCTTTCCCACCAACCTATATCTTTAAAGGGGTGTCAATCTCACGTACTAATTATCACTGAGTTAACCTTTCCATCAATGATATAAAAATGTATAATAACCAATGACTCAACTTTTCAAGTCACTTACCAAGAAAAACAATTATTCTTAATCATTATTTTACTTTCCATAAGGCAAGATTAAATGATTGAGAGGTATAAGTATATTGGATCATCAAGTAAACAATGATAATATTTCTACCAAGTCCATTCAAGAAATCAAACAGAAAACAAGCTTATCATAAAATTCATTATCTTAAGCTCTTTTGGTTATAATTTCTTTCCCTCTTGTAAGTTATTGATATAAATATTAGAGGTCCCTATTGTAATAAAGACTCCAGAGATAAAGCCTATACATATTAAACTCAAGATGTAGCTATTTAGAATCCAAATCCAATATGATATTTTCATGACTTTATCACCCCCTAATTGTTTATGCGGAGATAAATGAAATTAGAGGATTACCAATATCCATACAGACACGCACATGAACACACACTATTTGCATTCTCTAATAACAAAGAAGTAACTTGGTTTATTACCAAAAAATTAGTGAATGTAAACGGAAACACCAATAAAAAAAAATTATTGGTATTTTGTGATGACTTTTTTCAACAAAATTTTACATCTCTATATCCATTGACAAACACTAACAGAAAATTATCTCGATATATACCAAGAAAATTACAAGTGTAAAATTAAGAAATGAAAAAAAAAATAAACAACATGATGACGTGTAATTTTTATAGATAATATTATTGAGAGAATGTATCCATCGGTATATTGTAGAGACTGTAAGAAGTATTCTGTTAGTATATTGTAGAGACTGTAAGAAGTGTTTTCCTTCTCTTTGATGTTCACGGTATTCATTACATACTAGTATACTGATAGAATATGTTTGTTGATATATCCTAAAAACTATAAAAACTATTTCTTTTCTCTATGACACAATTCATAGTGTTTATTACATATGAGTATAATGATAAAATATGTTTGTCAATATATTTCAGAGACTATAAGAACTGTTTTATTTATTATTGTGTTGATAATTATTGTTTTTTTATAAATGAAATTATTAATAAATTGAAAAGTCATTGATATTATTTGAAAATTTTCTAAAACATATTATTAAATTAAAAATTTAAATTAAATATTATAAATACATTGTTAATTATCATTCTTTAAAACAAAATCACCAGATGATTTAAAAGAACGGACTTCCATTTTTTTAACCAAATGTCAGCGCTCATAATTCTTTCAAAGCTGCCTTTCTTCGAACATCCTTCCTGCTCGGCTGCTAAAGTGCTAATTAAAGTCTTTTGCGTCCGCTTGAGATTGGCCCGGGTGATCATACTTTGAACGCTTGCGATAAAGGTGTAGACAGTGGAGTTTCACAGTGTTCTTTTGCTGAATAATGGTTGGTGGCAAGCTGTAAAGTGGACTTGGGTGCTTATACTTCAATAATGGAGATTGAATATTCAGTTGATCCCCTGAACGACAATTTGTATTCTTCTCTTGCCTTTCCATCTTTTTTTTCATTCATCAATCCATCTCGCTCTAACTCAATCTTTTTTCAACTTCAACTTATTCTATTTCTCTCTCTGTCTCTCTCTCTCTCTTTCTGTCTCTTGCACTATGTTTCATTGTCCCCTCCATTTTTATTTCAACCTCTCTCTCTCTCTCTCTCTCTCATTAATTAAGTTTCTAATAACAATTAATTCAAACATTTTACTTCTTTATTTAAATAAGAGCTCATAACGGTGTGCTAAAAACTAAAATGATGTTGGTAACAATTAATACCAATATTTTTTAAACACAACACAAAAAATACCATGTAAACTCCAGTCAAATTAATTAAAAAAATTAACTAATTATATATTAATAATTACAATCAATTAGTAAATAGCAATATAACATAATTAAAACAAAAATAAAATAAACAATATAAAATTTCAAATACTTTAAAATACATAGTTCAAATAAAAACTCATATATAATTTAAATAATTTAAAAATATAATACAATGCAATTATATCCATGGAATTTCATTAACTAAAATTTAACAACCTAAAATAAATAATTAGATGGAATCTCATGCAAACTAAAAAATCAATCTCATTACCTATACTTTCCTTATTATTTCTAAGATATTTATCAAGATTATTATCTTTTAAATGATTATTAATACTAACACTAGTATCAACATCAATATTATAAATATGAGTGAAACTACTGATGTTTACAAAGAAATATATCAACCCAACTTCTATCAAATTATTAATATTTTTTTTAATAATTGTCCAAAAATTCACAAAGTTCAAATCCATGGCAAGCCTTATGTGCATCAGTTTAATAACTCGCACTATAGTATAACTAGATGTTGAATCTTTTTAAATATATCAGTAAGAAACAAATTAAAAATTCGCTTTACTTAGTAAAAGTGTGTACAAATGGTGTAATACGGCTGTAAATCTCTTTAGCATGTGATCAGGAGATGTCTTGGCATTATGTGATAAAGTTACAGCTAAAGAGTCCTGTACAAGAGGATTGGATAAGTGCAAGTGAATCAACTAATAGAAAAACTGAAAGCAAAACAGGAGTCAAAATAAAAGAAAGAAGAAGAATATTTGAAAAGCAGCTACAGTGTCTCTTTTAGATCAATTATTCGGCTTATCTACAAATAAAGGGTGTTTTCTTTTACGTTTTAAAAGTGTGTTTTTAAAAAAATTTAAATTTTTATTTATTTATTTATTTTAAATTAATATATATTTTATTTTTAAAAAATTATTTTGACATGTTAATGTTAAATATAATTTAAAAATAAAAAAATTATTAATATATATTTTAACATAAAAAATTATTTAAAAAACAAGTCACCCAGCCTCCCAGACAGACAAGATGAGCCAGAATAAAAGTTGTGATGTTACGTGAAAAAATTAGACAAATACAGAGATAAATAGCAAGACATGAGCCACTTCACGAAAACAAAAAAAAAAAGGAATCATGCAAGAAGCCTCTCCCCGGGCGAAAACAGGCCGAAAAAAACAAGGGGAATAAAATCAAAGCTAGCTGACATTAACTATTGAAATAAACAGTTTAATTGAGAAAAGTATATTTAGCCTCTAATTAATTAATTTGTGCTCATAATAACCCCATTAACAGTTTAATTGAGAAAGTATATTTAGTCTCTAATTAATTAATTTGTGCTCATGATAACCCGACTAATTATTCCACGCCCAAAAAGTTAAGAGAAAAACTATAAATTCATAAATTTAGATAATGTTTATGAAAAATAATTTTTGAAAAATCACTTTCCAAATTTTCTTGTATTTATTTATTTTTAGAAAAATTGGTTAACGAAAAACACTTTCCAGTCAACAGAAAATACTTTTCAGTTAGAAAAAAATTTGGCTTGATTTTTAGAAAAGTATTTTTTTTTGTATTTGTTTTCTGAAAAGTGATTTTCAGGAAATTATTTTCCAAACTTTTTATATTTGTTTGATGTTAGGAAAGTTAATCAACGAAAAATACTTTCCAGTCAAAGGAAAATTTAACTTGGTTTTCAGGAAAGTATTTTCCTGAAAAATTTGGGCGGAAAACACTCTCCGGAAGTTTTGAAAAATTTAGAAATGTCATTATTTGCTGATTATATTAAATTTAATCCTCAAATTTTTGATTGTTATATATATATATATATATTTTGTATATTTATTTCTCAATTTCATTTCTTAAAATTTAATTTTTATATTGACTTTGGTCCTTATTTTTATAATTGTTATTTACTTTTCTCCTATCATTTTTTTTATTGAAATTTTCTATTTATCAAATTTGGTCCTCATTCTTTTGATTGTTACTTATTTTATTTGAAATACTTTATGAAATGTTAATTATTATTATTTTAATTTCTTCATCTTTTTTTTTGATTTAATCTTTATTATTTTTATTATTATTTATTTTATTTGAGATAATTTATGAAATTATATTTTTTTTCAATTTCATTCTCATTCAACCTTTTTAATTCGTAAGATTTGTTTCTCATTATTTTAATAAACTTGAGAAAAATAAAATATTAATAAATTATTTTTTAATTTATTTTCTATAACATAACCAAATACTGAAAAGTGTTTTTCAGTTTATTTTCCATAATACTATTAAACATCAAAAAATAATTTACTTTTTAAAAATTCACTTTCCCCAAAATTCACTTAAAAAAATAATTTTTTTGCAAACAAACGAAATTTTACTAATTGGAATAGAGAGGTTGTCTTCAATCTCTAGGAACCTAATTCTCATATTTGTTTTACACAATTTAATGATTTTTTCCCTAGCTTTTAATGCCTATAACCTCTTCATTTATTAGCCAAAAAACACATATCATTTACCATTTTAAAGTCTGATATGTCCACTTTATAATATATACTAATAATTGTAGATCCTAGTTCTTTATATAAAAATAGCTGGGCTTATTTGTTTTTGTATTTTAAAAATATTTTCGAAAAAATTTAGAAATTTTTTATTTTTTTTATTCATTTCAAATTAATATATTCTTAGTGTTTTCAAATTATTTTGATGTGTTGATATTAAAAATAATTTTTAAAATATAAAAAAATCATTAATATATATTTTAATAAAAAAATTATTTGAAAAAGCAATTACAACAATATTGAAAAATAACTCTACAATAAAACAATTAACACTAATTTCGACAAAAAAAGAAAGAAAGAAAAGGAATGGAAGCGTTCATGGTATATTCTCATCAATTATTTTAAAACATATTTTAAATAGTTGATACATGCTAATTGACTACGAAACAAGCAACTTATTTTAAAACATATTTTAAATAGTTCATACATGCTAATTGACTAGGAAACAAGCAACTTATGCACCGCTAACAATGTTTATTATTACTATTATTATTATTATTATATATCTTTTATCACCAGTCTAAGTATAATTAACAATCTAAATATATATAAATTGTAGTGTTCAATCCCTTTTATTATTATTATTATTATTATTATAAATTGTAGTGTTCAATCCCTTTCAAGAGCTTGAAAGAGTCTTTGCCTTCCTTTCTCTTGTTGTCAGAACTTCTATGTAAAGATTTGTTTTCTATTTACTTTTCGTCACATGCTATCATCTCTCTCACACAATTATTTATCCTTTATTTGAAGAAGGCCTTTATCAAAAAAGAAAACAAAGAAAGAAGATCGGTTTGTGGTTTGCATATCCCCATCTCTTAAAAGCGAAGAAGAGCATCTCTTGGTACATTGTGGATAGGATATAGCAGGAATATACAACCGTAGAAAACCAAAAATAATATGGAAGAAATACGTCATTCTAATGACAACCAACAGCACCTGACAAATTAATTAATTAATTAATGGAAAAAATAAATAGATGAATACCAAACACACCTTCTTTAAAAAAAAAAAAACATTAAAAAAATTAAAAATATATAAATCAGTCTATTAAATTTTAAATTTATTTTTTAAAATTATCAATTTGAGTAAAACTATTAAAAACTTATATAATTATTAATTTTAAAATTTATAAAATTAATTTAGCTATATACATATATTAATCTTAAAAAAACAATTAAATAATAAAATCTGTCATGAGATATAAGATGATGGTTGGCGTAGAATCTTCCTGTCTATTCTGTCCTTTAAATTAAATAAAACAAGTGATTAAATAAATGGACATTGTTACCCCTTAAATTTAAAGACGACGACAGCATATACACGTGGAAGCAGATAACTGGTTTCCGATTGTCCTGTCACACTTGTCATCCTTGCGTAATCACTGCCTGACCTTTCCTTTTTGTCCATTTTGCCGTGCTCACTTCGTCACTCTCACCGTCTCCTCGCATCCCCGCCAGTACCGCCCCCCTCCTCTCTTCAATGTCAAATACCCTCTCTCGCATGCCTCCTCCTCTCAAAAACCCTAACTTCCTTCACTTCCTGTTTTCCCAAAATGTCGTCCCACTTCCTCTCTAATTCCCCTTCTACCCCTACCACCAAGGCCTCCGATCGCCAAAACGACACCTCCGTTTCTCTCCCCTCAACCTCCACCTCATCTTCTATTTCCCCAGATATGTGGAATTACCTTTGGATCCCTTTCTTAATCTCGCTCTCTAAAGAGCTAACCCTAGCTCGATCAGCAACAGCTATAACTTCTCCTTCGATTCTCCTCCCGAGTCAACTCGTCGATGACTCGCCTTCGGCGCCTAGGTGTCCGGCGTCCGACACAAATCTGAATTACCGTCCGGTGATTGGAATTTTGAGTCATCCGGGGGACGGTGCCTCCGGGAGGCTTAATAACGCGACGAACGCTTCGTATATTGCGGCGTCGTACGTGAAGTTTGTCGAATCAGCTGGTGCTAGGGTTATTCCATTGATTTATAACGAGCCAAGAGAGATTCTTTTTGAGGTATCTACATTCTTTAAGGAGAAGTGCAAAGATTGATTTTAGAGTAGGTTGGATCATATGAGGATTAGATTGGAGAGGAAGTGAAGTGGAAACTGAAAAGGAAATTTTTTTTAAACGATTGTCATTGAGAAAACTTTTAAGTAATTCTGAAATTAAGTAGCTGCTTATTCGAGATAATGATTTGGAGTTAGAAACTTTGTTGATGAAAATGAAAATGAAAATGAAAATGAAATTAAACAAAAACAAAATCTGAATTTTTAAAGTTTTTGTGCATGATCATTAATAGGGATAGTCTGGCTTGAATGCAATGCTTGCACGGTGTAGGGGTATGCTATCATTATTTTATAATCTTACTAATTTATGAATGTTACTTAAGCTTGCTTGTTTGGTGTTGCATTACAGAAGCTCAATCTGGTAAATGGAGTGCTCTTTACTGGAGGTTGGGCTAAAACTGGTTTGTACTTCGACACTGCGAAGGCAATTTTCAAGGTAGGTAATTTTTTCAAACAAACCTTCCATACTAAAATTGATTTCAATAAAAAAATTGTTTTGCAAGACGATGTATCCCCTCGTTTGCAATATGGTTAGAATTCACCAAAAAGAATAAAACGACATTTTCTACTTTTAGTTTCCTCCCCTAACTGTTGTCAGTACAATCATCTTGTACCTGCAGGAAGTTTTAGCAAGGAATGATGCAGGCTTCCATTTCCCAGTGTATGCCATCTGCTTAGGCTTTGAAATTCTGACAATGATCATTAGTGAGGTAATATATGGCCAAAACAGATGTATATATATAGCCTGTAGTGATCAGACATTCCCATTCCAATTATTCCCATATTTTCCATTTTGTCAGACTGATTCCGTGCGAGAAGAAGGGATTACCAATTTATTTGTTATTTAAAATATGCAGTACATGGTGATTAGGACTCTTCAGGACTTTTGGTGTGCCTGTATAAGCACACACATTATGCATATCTTTTGCCATAGTGACAATAAATTGAGAGTTTCAGTTTCAATTTACAGCGGTGGATTTCCTTCAGTGTTTCACTGTGGATTCCGCTTTCTCTCTTGGATTCAAGGAAGCCCTGGTGGATATCTGGGATTTAGCTTGGTGATTCTAGGTTTTCTACCCCTTTTCTATCTGTCGAGTCTGTTACCCTTTCTACAGGAATTGGTATTTGTTTTGTGTTGCCAAGCCACTTGTCTCATACTCTATTCCTAATGTTATTGTTCTTGTTCTAGGTGGTTATTTCTGTTGTTTTCTATTGCTGCCTAACCTGATTGTATGCAGAGAGGAGGTAAAACTTTAGGTTTTGTTTTTTTGTGAGATGTGTAATTAAATTAAATATGGCCTTACAGTGCAATGATGATGTTGGTGGTAAAGTTATTGCCAGAAAAATGTCTGAGTAATTGTTTTGTTTACTTTATTATCCATCAATGTCAAAAAGTCTGAGTAGTTGTTTCAAATATTAGTGCACTCTTGTTAGTGGAAATTCTTAATAGTCCCACTTCAGAAATGTTATGAGCATGACTCTTATTTTTCCTTGAAAATAGGACAATCAAATTCTGGAAACATATAATGCAACTGATCAGGCTTCTACTCTTCAATTTATGGAAAACATAAGTATCGAAGGAACTGTGTTTCAGAGGTATACACGCTGTAAACCCCCCCCCCCCAAATCTCGTTTGCTTTGGTAAAATTCAAGCATTTCTCTTATACCAGGTCGTATTAACATTCTCAATTTTTTGTATTTATCAAACATGATGCACTTAATTTTATTTTCTTACCAAGTTTTTAGTTTCTTTATAGAGCCACAAAAGGATATTAATGAATTTGTTAAACAGTGTAAATACCAATAAACTTTTCTGTCAATAACTGAACGAAAGAGTTTTTCAAATTCTCTTATATGTAAGATAACTGCTCTGAATCCCAATTAATAGCTCCGTGATCATCATTATTTGTTTTACTTCTTAATTCTTAACATGCTGTTATCTCAATTTCGTCTTTGACATGCCAAATGCTTATCCTTTATTTTTGTGTGACTTGGTTACTGACATGGAGAAGATGCCCTAACTTGATATAGTTACCTAATATCCAATATGGATGTGTGGTGAATAAGTGAATACTTACAAGATGATGTGGTGTGAAATTTTATTAGCCAGTTTGCACACTGCGAAGCATGATATGTGGCATTATACAATCTATAAGGCATAAATGGAGGTCTTTTGTTATCATGTCAGGAACTGTTTTGCCTAGCTACTTGGACATTTATTGTGAATTGTTTTTCTTATAGAAGTTCTATAATTATTCGATACTGGCAAAATGATACTTTTAGTTGTACCAAGCAAAAAACTGCTAAGTTAACATTAATATTCCTTTGCAGATTTCCTCCAGTTTTGCTTAAAAAGTTGAGTACAGATTGCCTAGTCATGCAAAACCATCATGTGAGCTCACAAAACTGGTAGTACCTTTAGACTTTGGTTGCATGGTCAAATAGAGACACGTGATGCTCTGTTTCTTGTTTCTTTCTTTGTTTAGATTTCTGTAATATATGACATTTTACTCTTTAAAAAGGACTATATTTAAAAAAAAAATTATTTTGGCGCAGTGTTCTGTCTTATAAACCAGCATTACCTATCCATTTCCTCATGACTGGAGATCTAAAAATATCTTGATATTCATGAAATTTGAAGCCAAAAAGGAAAATATAAATTAGACTTTCCTCCATATCTGGCCATATTTTAATACTCTTATACTGAAGAACGATCCCTCAAAAGTAAAATAAAATATACTGGCTGATCAGTATCACTCAAGTGGAAGACGGAACGATGATGCTGTTGTCAGGAGTGTGATCTGGAGTTTCCACTTTCTTGGGAAATATTTATGTTTTGCATTTCCATAATTTAGACTGGATTGGGGAGATGATACTTGAATGTTTACATCTTCCAATTCTAAGTTTTTCCACCTGCCTTTGAACATGCTTGTTGCATCAAGGCCGTCTTAACTTTAATATTCTACTTATATTTTCAAATTAGAATACTAATCCATTGACCAGAAAGGCTGCTTTCCCCATTTTATCTAACTTATCTGATCTTCCAATGCAACAGTATGGCATCTCACCACAACGGTTTCAGGAAAATGAACATCTATCTAGTTTCTTTGAGATCCTGACTAATAGTGCAGATGAAGATAACCAGGTAATGGATGCAATAATTTTGTGATGTAGTTTTCTATACACTTGAAGAATTCTAATTCCTTTCCCAACATCAATTTTAGGTTTATGTCTCCACTGTACAAGCACGCAACTATCCTGTGACTGCCTTCCAATGGCATCCCGAGGTATTGCTATCAAGTGCTTTGCATTAAAGCCATTGTGTTTTTCTGTGGAGATTCATCTTTGGTTGGGCAAATTCCATACTTGAAGTATAAAATATGGATTTAGATAATCAAGAAATTCAGGAAGGAAGTCCTGTATACCCAAAAAAAGTTACTGTGGGATAATGGGATGCAGCTGTTTGTGCTTTGTAGTTACAGGAGAAATTTTTGTCAATTTGCACTCCTTGTATCACACCCCTACTCTTTTATATGTAAAATACATCCAAACCTGGTCATCATATAAGAAAATCTTGCGTGTATGTGTTTAAGCTGGGTCTGGTACTTTTACAGAGATCAGTTTGGGTATTTAGTTTAAAAATATTAAAGTGCATTTAATGTCTGAGTTCTTTTGTGAAGTTGAAAGAAATGCCCAAACAACATAGGCAATTTTTTATTACCATTACCATAGCAAAAGGAGCAGTGAGAGGTGGCAGGGTATAAAAATAACATCATAATATTTTTATAGCTCAGCTTAATTTCTAAACGTAATTGAATTATTGATCCTCATGGTATGGTGCACAAGTGTCAATTCTCCTTTGTTTTTCAAAATTTGTTTACTGTTACTGTAAATATACAATTGCTTATGGTAGTAGGATTACTAGTGACTGAAATCCAAATGCATTACAGAAAAATGCTTTTGAATGGGGGCTATCCTGTGACTGCCTTCCAATGGCATCCCGAGGTATTGCTATCAAGTGCTTTGCATTAAAGCCATTGTGTTTTTCTGTGGAGATTCATCTTTGGTTGGGCAAATTCCATACTTGAAGTATAAAATATGGATTTAGATAATCAAGAAATTCAGGAAGGAAGTCCTGTATACCCAAAAAAAGTTACTGTGGGATAATGGGATGCAGCTGTTTGTGCTTTGTAGTTACAGGAGAAATTTTTGTCAATTTGCACTCCTTGTATCACACCCCTACTCTTTTATATGTAAAATATATCCAAACCTGGTCATCATATAAGAAAATCTTGCGTGTATGTGTTTAAGCTGGGTCTGGTACTTTTACAGAGATCAGTTTGGGTATTTAGTTTAAAAATATTAAAGTGCCTTTAATGTCTGAGTTCTTTTGTGAAGTTGAAAGAAATGCCCAAACAACATAGGCAATTTTTTATTACCATTACCATAGCAAAAGGAGCAGTGAGAGGTGGCAGGGTATAAAAATAACATCATAATATTTTTATAGCTCAGCTTAATTTCTAAACGTAATTGAATTATTGATCCTCATGGTATGGTGCACAAGTGTCAATTCTCCTTTGTTTTTCAAAATTTGTTTACTGTTACTGTAAATATACAATTGCTTATGGTAGTAGGATTACTAGTGACTGAAATCCAAATGCATTACAGAAAAATGCTTTTGAATGGGGGTTATCAATGATTCCACACTCAGAGGATGCCATTCAAGTGACCCAACATGTTGCCAACTTCTTTGTTAGGTGAGGATTTTTTTGTGCTGAAAAGTTATTAGCTTATGCTGCGAACTTTTTTATGAGATGTGCTGAGGATGTAATTTGAGCCTTGGACATCCTGAACTGAGGTTTTGCATATTTTAAACAGGCTCCAATAAATCATCTACTCATTCACATGCATGTTAGGACTAGTTTAAGAAGGCTGGTTAATTCTCTGTTGTAAACTTAGTATTCATGGAAATTTTGTAGCAGAAAATATGAAGTAGCTGAAAATATGAAGGCATAGTTCATGTTCAGACCTTTCAAAACACAGAAAGCACGAGAATGATCAAATGATAACGCAAGCTTAGATATATTTGAAGTTGTTTACAGTGGTTGTATCGAATACAACCAGTAGCATTTGAAAATCATAAACACTGTATTATTAACATTTTGACATTTTAACTAATAATGGTGCTTAAATTCATTCTATATTACTCTTATCAATATTGATATTGAAACTTTTGTGTTCTGCTGCGTTTATTTTCTGAGAACCCTGTCAGAAGTCCAAACAAAGGAAATTAAAGTCGTATTGCCTGCTTCGTGAACCTTTTCATTTATCTATGGTGCTTTGTTGTTCACAGCAGAGTAATGAGATGAAAAAAAAAAAAAACTGTTTTCAATGTTTGTTTTGTGCTGCAGTGAAGCTAGAAAGTCCTTGAACAGGCCACCTGCTCGGAGGGTACTTGACAATTTAATTTACAATTACAGTCCCACATTTTGTGGGAAAGCTGGGTAAGTGAATTGACTCCGAGAACCTAGTTTGGCACACAAATTTATTGTTACCAAGGTTGGCACTTGCATTTACTGATTTGCGTTTCTTCTTTTATCCTACTGTAGGAAGGGATATGATGAAGTTTACATCTTCGCAGAACCAGAAACACCGAACAATACGAGGTGTGCAGTGCATGGTAATTGTCATGGACGTGTGAAGTTGTAAATATTTAAGACTCAGCACTGAAGTCTGAACACATAAATTGTATCATTGTCGACAATGTAAAGCTTAAGATCGAACTGAACTAAGTGCATTTGTTAATAATTCAAGACATGATGGTTTGTGTTCGCAAATGCTTTCAGTATTTACATTACGCCACTGCCAATTAAGATGTATTACGGCATCCTAGTCATAACTCATAACTTCACTGGTGACCCTGTTTGACTATGATGTAAAGTATATTACATCAAAATACCATGATGTCTTGTTCATCCAATCTCACCCGTGCTTCAATTCCATTTCCCATTCTTGTTTCCATCAAACCAATGTAATTCAAATACATTGAATCATGTATGTTGAATGCCTTGGTGCCCATCCAAATTGCTTACCCCAGTCGAAATCAGCTTCATAGCAACACGTTTTATTTATACAAATTGCTAGTTGTGATATGATCACAATTCTCATCAGAAAACATTTCTCTTTTCTTTCAGATGCTGGATAATCTAGAAAAAAAAAAAAAACCCTTCATCGCCATGTATTTCGGCCATGAATTGGCTGTCAATTTTCCCCTCGGCTTCGCTTAGATAGCACACTAAGGCATCCAATTCTATTTGGTCACTAGCTTTGCATTTCACAGGTTCTTTCCAAAGAAGATTTCCAATATTATGTTCAGGCAAAGGTCGCCTTTTTGAGTCATTTCCTGCTCTTGAAGCAACTATGACACTTCTCCAGATAATTGCTAGAACCTCAATTGAAGTTGGGGACTTGACAAACAGGGATCTACTTGCTTCTGCCTTGAGCTTATCGCCAATGCATCGAACACAAATCTTCTCCAAGCACACTTTCCTTTTCTGAACATGGTGGGGTCAGAGAAATGGAGCAATAAAACTGGGATATGCTGCTTGTGATGTAAAACAAGCAGTAGATGACCGAGTTTTCATAAAGGTGCAAAATGATGCCCCATCAAAGACCTTGTGAGAAACACAAAATGATGCCCCATCAAAGACCTTGTGAGGAACACCAGCACAAATAGCTATAACGCAGCACAAATGTATTTACTTGAACCAGAAGAACATAATTAACGAATTCTGATGAATCTGCTGGGTTTCAGTGAAAAAACAGTGCATAAAGTGGCTCTCCGTTTTTTCAAGAAATGTTGATAGGTGAAAAGTTCATGGAGGAACACAAGAGCAAACTGCTGGGGGGGAGTAATAGCTCTATAAATAGGCTGCAAGTAAGTTTTGTATATATTACACACACGAATTTATATATATTCCTTTATTAATAGTTAATAAAAAGTTGGAAAAGAATTTACTTGCTTTGTTTGTGTTAATTTCATTTACTTGCAAGAGAGAAAGACTGAATTTAGTAAGACTTGAGTAGACGACAACATGGGACTAGAATTTTGAGCGAGAAATTTATCGCTATGATAGTTGTCTTCTAGCTATAACTCGGAATGCGCATGCTCTTTGTTGCGAATAATTCTATAAAATCTATTTTAGTATTTCATTTAATTTAAAATTTTAAGGGAATAAAATAAAAATAAATTCAATATTAATTGTGAAATTTATTTAATTTAATATGTATTTTATAGTATTTAACACCATATATGTATTTTATATTTAAGTTTAAATATAATATGTTTGATCTTGATTAATAAAAAATAAAATGTACGGAAGTAATTATTTATTTTTTAAAAATCAAACTAAAAAAGTCAATGATAATCAACAAAGATGCTAGAAAGGTGTTTAATTTTAGTTAATGATTTATATAAATATCATAATAGAACTATTAATTATTGAAAAAATTTATTTTGAGAAAATAATAAATACTTAAAGATTAAAACATCAAAGAAAAGATATATAATTTAGATTGCGAGTTTACTATATTAACTTAAATTAATTAAAAATTAAACTTTATAATTTATTTATAATTATTTTTTATGAGGTTATCACGGTTTTAAATAAATATTATAACATTGTCTTAAATAAATATTATAACATTAAGCAAGTGCTTGTTTTTACAACGATCTATTATTTCATCATATAATTAAATATAAATATTTTTTAAAAATATTAAACTTATTGAATTTCATGATTTGAGTAGAAAATTTAATATATTAATTTAAACTAATTTCAAACTAGATTTTTTTATTTAATTTGTATAAAGTTATTGCTGTCTCAACCAAATCTTATGATATTGAGTTTATATTTAATTTTGTAAATAATTATTTTTATTATCATATAATTAAATAAAAAATTATTTTAAATACATTGCAATTCATGACCCAATTATGGGTTTGGTAGGTTAAACTATAAATTTCGGATACAATCAAAATATCACTATCTCAATATTTTTTTAAAATATTTTTTTATATATTTTTTCTTAAAATTAAATAATATTTTTTTATCATTCAAATTATTTTTTAATTCATCAAATTAACTATATCACATCATAAAAACATCTAAATAGTTTAATTAAAACTCAAGCATTATGTTTAAAAATTTCAAGATTTACCCATTCCCAACCAAAAATTTCTTGTTAGTTAGACATTTTTTAGGTTTTTAAAAAATTTGCTCCGATATACAACATAACGGGAGCTAATTATCTAGTCTAAAACTAAGGACAACGATCGTTTCCTTCCTATGTAATTATGCAATTTGATCAACTAGAAAATAAAAGAACATCTCACATGAATTAGTTGTTTGGACGACGCTATGCATGTGGGTCGTATATATTTGTGTGTATTTATTTATGTGATGCACTCCGAAGCATAAAAAACAAAAAAAAGATAGCAACATGAAAGACCGAGCTTGACAAAATAAGTTCAACATACCAGCAACCCTAATTTCTAGTTTTATTTTCTACAATAAAATTTGATATATTTTACTGAAAAATAAGCTAAACAATTTTATTTATACTCTTTCATTCTAGATCTATCCTTAAAAAATAAAAATAAAAAGTTTTAATTATGGACTTGTTTTAGGGATTCCTGAACTAAAAGGAAAGGATAAAATTATTAATCTCAATATTGAATTTACTAAAATAAATAGAAAAAAATAAAAATCGCATAACATTTTCAAACTAAATAGAAAATAGCAATAACTAAGAAAAATAATTTTTTAAAAAAAAATTCATCACTTTTTCTAGATTGAAAATAACTTATCTTCAAGTTTTAATTATTTTTTAAACAAAAAGCTAAATATTAAACATTGAAAACATTGATCATCTTTGAATACTTGAGTGAATTGCATTATTGTTGTCAATGATTATTAGAGCCATAAAATTAAAAAATCTTCAAATGGCCTTCTCACATCAAGTGACCCTCGTGTGAATGATTTTGCGCTCCATTCACCTTGGCATATCAGCACTGTATAATTAGCCAACTTAGATAAAGCTACCTAAAAATAAACTCTCATAACACTTTCAATATTTATGGAACTATTCCTAGTTGTCAATGGCTTATTCCAAACTGATATCTTTCTACACCACTTTGATTCTTTACACTCTAATTCTTTTTTTTCTTCACAAACTAGATAAAGACAATATCTTTTTACAGTTATCACAGAAATCCCCTCTTTCCTAAGCACTAATATTATAAGCTTTTTCTTGATTTTGATGATAATATATGCATTACATTGCCCAAGATATTCAAGTTATGTTACTATGGTCTTCTTTAAAGTAGATGAAAAATATTTATAAACATTATATCATATCAAATATTATTAAAATATCTCTTATTTATAAAAAATGAAATAAAATAGTATTTATCCATAATTATCTTACTATCTCGAGTCAACCATTTTAATGTATAGAGTCGTTGTTATTGTTTTATCTTAAATTGTAATTTTTTTTGTAATTTTTATTAATATCATATTCTTGTAATTATCATCATTAATGATCAAATTATATACTTTTTCTTTAGTGGTACAAAAAAGAATGGTGTGTAATAAATCCTCATCTAAATTAGTTTTAAGAGCCAACGAGTTTTTTTTGGATGACGAAGGCAGCAGAGTCGTCTCTTTAATGTAAAATATCCATCCATAACGTTATCCTTACCTCCCAAGTGTCTCTTTCATCTCCACATCCACCCCCTTATCCACATATTCAATACTCTCAAGTGTAATAATCTTCCCTTTTATTTCCAAGTTCAAGCACTATAATTTAATCCATTTTCTTCCTGTTAAATTATGGGCCTAGCCGATGCACCCTTGGCCTGGAATATGGATCCATGGAAAACGCAGGTGGTATATGTCACCTGCCTGCATTGCTATTCCACCCTTGAAAAAAAGAACGCTGACCCCCCAAAAACAATATGGCGGGAAACCAGTGTGTTTGTAGAGGGAAAATCGAACACTCTCATTTTGTTTTGTCCTTGATTGATGGCGTTGGTAATTTCTATCTCTTCATCCACCTGCACAATTTCTTCCATCTCTAATTTCTCTTTGAGCCCAAAAACCGAAGAAATTATGTCCCAAATGGAAACCCTAGGCATTCTTGATGAAATTGAAGTTCTTGTCTCTGATAAACTCCAAGTGGTACTTCTACTCCTCTTCAATCCCCTTAGTTTCACTGGGTTTTGTTGTTGTAATCTTGGGTCAGTTTTAGTAAATCTAGAAAATTAATTAATTATTTAATCACTTGGTTTCAGGTTTCATACAAGTGGTTGAGTCGAAATTTCTTGGTTTCATCGAATGCTGCAAAAAGGTAATTTTCCTCTCTGAAATTTGTGATTTTTATTTTTATTTTCCTGGTTTGTGCATTCAATTAACAAATGGTTGGTGTTGCTTCCTTAAGGTTGCTTCAAGAATTTGTTAACACACGCGGAAGTGGATTCGAAGTAGTATACACTCTATCCGGTTGGTTAAAGAACAACCCTTCAAGTTACCATATAAGGCTTGTTTCCGGTCCCAAACTTGAAGGTCAGGTCTTTGAATGGTGCTAACATCATTGTAGTTATTGTTGGTTAGAAACGAGAGATACTCGAAATCGCAAGGATTTCCATCTATCCCATTATAATAGATGGGTTTCAGGGTGGCATTGCTAGCTGCTGCTCTTAGGTTTGCAATAATGTGTCCTGGAAGAATCATTAGGTGACTTGTTAGCATGCCATAACCATAGATTTGTGCTTTCG